CCTTATAGAAACCCAGCTCCGGCTTTGTTTTGCCTCCCCGGAGGTTCTGGTATTACGCGTCACTCGAAGATACCGTTCGAAAGTTACACCGGTGCTGAGGTTAGTGTAATTCCTCCTACACGCAAGCATAACATACAGCTGATGTCATATACTCTGCAGGCAGCCAACGGTACGAGCATTAAGACCTATGGTGAACAGCTTCTTACTCTCGATCTAGGTCTTCGTCGTCAGTTCCCTTGTGTTTTCACAGTGGCCGGCATTAAAAAACCCATTATTGTTCTGGACTTCCTCACATCATTTGGTCTCACAGTTGATCTCCACAGACGGCAGTTGCTTGACAATTCGATGACTCTCTCTGTAAATGGCAAAGCTTCATTCATTAATTCTATTGGAATCCGTCCAGCTTTGCCGGGTAACCGTTACACAGCACTGCTTCGTCAATTTTCAGAGATCCTGAAACCTGCTTCCAAGACCACTTCCGTAAAACATGATGTTTTCTACCATATCTCGACAAAAGGCCCACCCACCGCATCCCGCCCACGACGGTTAGCTCCGGAAAAGCTTGCCATAGCCAAGACCGAATTCCAACATTTGCTTCAACTGGGTATCATACGACCATCATGCAGCCCCTGGTCATCTCCACTACATATGGTCCCCAAAAAGTCCGAAGGAGATTGGAGACCATGTGGCAATTATCGCACACTAAATCGTGTCACTATCCCGGACAAATACCCAATTCCGTATCTACATGATTTCGCTCTTACTCTTCGCGGCAAATCTGTCTTCAGTAAATTAGACCTTGTCAGAGCAAACCACCAGATACCTGTCGCTCCGGACGATATTCCCAAAACTGCTATCACCACTCCATTCGGTCTATATGAATTCGTTCGTATGTCATTTGGGCTCAGAAATGCAGCTCAAACATTTCAACGGTTAATGGATAAAGTTTTACGGGGGTTAGACTTCCTCCGCGCTTATGTCGAAGATGTTATTATAACCAGTTGGTCCGAAAACGAGCATGTGCTTCACTTAAAGCAAGTTTTTGAAAGATTTCAGCAATATGGTATAGTCATCAATAGTAGTAGATGCCAATTTGGTGTTTCGTCACTGGAAATTCTAGGACATATTGTTGACTCGGACGGCATCCGTACTCTGCCATCTAAAGTTTCCGCCATTTGCTACTTTCCACGCTGATAAGGTCCTAGTCCGCTACACTTTCGAATAGCCTGTGCAACGTTTGAGGAAATAGTGCCTGCAAATGATGCGTTATGTCTTTGGCTCTCGGTACGTTCGGAATGGAAGTCGTGTTTTCCTCGTGCAAATGAGTGAAAGAATTTTTTCGTTGTTCAATCTGTTCACAGAATACACACGAGTAATTGTTGAATTTTATTACTCTAACAAAACTTTTGAGAGATAACCCCTAATTTTTTGCGCGCACTTCCTAGTTCACATCTAGTCCGAAACATGACATCAATTTATACCAATTGCCCTCTGCGGCCATTGATAGACCACAACAGATGTGGGCGAAATATCTGCCCGTCGAACGTCAAACGCGGTATGCAATGCCCAACCTGCAACGCCTGGTGGCATTGCAAATGCACGGCCTTACAGGACGACCGGATAAGCCGACGAGCCAACTCTCCTGACCCGTTTGTCTGCGCCTGCTGCCTCTACGTCAAGGGTGCAATGCATACCGCAGCGTAGAGGAGAGTCCCCCAAAACGGTACTCAATCCCCAATGCAGATTGAGAAAGAACACTGACAGTGTTTCGCCTTAATCTGGATGCTTGACGCGAAATTAGAGCGGCATAAAAAGGCACTGGAGGACTCAGGCGCTAAGAATGCAGCGACCTGGTCGAAAGTTGACAAAGAAATTTCCTCGCTTAACCAATACCCCACGATATTCACACCAGGTCCCATGGTTGCGAAGAAAGTCATACAAATTTCTGACGCGGCTATAAGAACCGGCACAGCGTCTCTAGTGGACAGGGGCCTAAGAGAAAAAAAGACTGATAATCTGAAGGAAATTCTCCGGGAGAAATACGCCAGCGAAAAACGCACAGTCGATTCTTACGGATTCACGGATTCACGGATTGACGCACAGTCGTTACGGATTCACGGATTCACGGATTGATACACAGGATCGAGGCTTTTGCCCAAGTTGTCCAGGTCGCTTTTGTTCTTGTCTGTCGGTCGCTGCCGTTCACCTGAAAGCCACAAGTGAAAAAAGGGTGCAGCACTGCTCTTTATGTTCTCAGCGCGGGGCAGTATGCTTGCCAGCGCGAAGATTCGCATAAATAAATGTCTAATAATGCTGTAAATTGGGTTCGAGAGGGAGCGTGTACAACCGTTGGAGGAAGGTCATTCCACGCAGCTACTACCCGAAATGAGAAAAAATTTGTCTGATGGATGTGTGTGCTCTGAGCTTGAAAATTTCTTACTATGTCCCCGCCGTGTTTTCGCTGGGTCGACGGTGAAAAACCTGTTTGCCAAGCTCTGTTCAAACAGGGCATAAATAAGAATTAGGTCCCGTCGGAGGCGACGGCACTCCAGGGGAAATAGATCAATCATCGCGAGACGCGTTCCGGAGTCCACGGATTTGAGGCCGGCAACCATTCTCGTAGCGGCCCGCTGGACACGCTCGGTGAGGGTGACGTCTTTCGTGCGTCCTGAGTAGACAACTTGGTTGGCGTACTCCACGAGCGGTCTGACGTAGGCCCCATAGAGTATTTGGAAGTCCATGCGAGTGATACGGGAGAAGGTACGTCGGATCATCCGTAAAATGGCGAATGCCATTTGGGCCGATTTCTCATGGTGCAGTGAGAAGGACAAGTTTGAGGAGACCCAGACGCCCAAATCCTTTTTGGCATCTATCCTCATGATGTTTTCTGGTCCCTTTTCACAATGCATAATAAAGGTATTGGCGGAATCCTATCCAAACGACATATGGACGCACTTTTCATCATTCAGAGGAAGGTGGCAGTCCAACGACCACTGCTTGGCAGCGTCTACATCCATTTGGAGGGCATAGACATTGGAACTCCAGGATTTCAAGTCGTCCGCAAAAAGTAGACATGGACTCGCAAGAACGTCTGGGAGGTCGTTGACGTAGATCGGAAACAGGAGTGGTCCCAAGACGGAGCCTTGAGGAACTCCAATGGAGAACGGCGCTGGAGAGGAGTAGGTCGAGCCTATTCTCACTCGGAATGATCTGTCCGATAGGAACACCTTGATCTAGCGAAGGATTTTTCCTTGAAACCTGTGAGACTCGAGTTTGTGGAGCAGCGGGACGTGTGGGACCCTATCAAATGCCTTTGAGAAGTCGAAAAATATGGCACCCGATATGAGTCCTTCGTCTCTGGCTTGGGTTAAGCTGTCCATAAACACGAGCATGTTTGTCACGCAGGAGCGGTTTGGAAGAAATCCGTGTTGAGCTGGAGATATCAGATTGCTGGAAGTGAGGTGATCTAGGATAGCTCGCTTCAGAATGCGTCCATCACTCTGCACGGGACGCGAGTGCGGTTGATAGGCCCGTGGCTGCCAGGCAATAGTCAGTCGCCAGTTCTGTAGATTGGCGTAACGATCGCTTCCTTGCAAGCAAATGGAAGGCTGCCTTCGTCAAGCGACTGGTTCTGGATTCGCGTAGGCTTTGTCATAGCAGGTCAGGAGTGGAAGAACGAAACAGGCTTCCACCGGGCACAAATCAGACGACCCCAAACTAATGACCAAGCCGATTGTGGTCATATCCTCCTGTGCTCCCGAAAACAGGCCGACAAAACTAGCTGCATTGCTGGACAGCAGTTTTTCTTCGACCACCACTGGTTTCTCGCCCAACAAAGGCAGGGAGACCCTGAAGGGGGCAAACCCCACATGCAAGAAGCGCCCAGACTACGTGGAGCTATCAAGCTATCAAGCTATCAGAGGACACAGCTGCAGCCGTGCAGCCGTGCACTCGTCAACAAAGTCACATCCTGTGAACAGGACTGAGTCAGAAGTGCGGGGACAAGAAGCGAGGCCAATCTCCGGCTCCACTCCGTCAAAAGCAGCCTCTCTGCTTGTGGACACAACCGTCGCCCAGGACTCCGACAACCAAAGGCATACACATGACTACAGCCATCCGGAAAACCCCTCGTACATCCAGTTGGCCACGCTGATCGCTGGCGGATCGGGTGCCCACACAAACACGAAAGAAGAGCGACTGTAGCCAAACAAGCCACATAAAACTCGCCAGATTAGAAAACTGCTGGCCGGCTTCAAGGTGCAGCCCTCCGCGAAAATAAGCCTCTTGGGAGCGCCACAAAATCATTACTTCTTGGTGCCACCACCCAGCGCTCAGGACCTCACAGAGACACTTTTCCGGTCAAACCGCCCCAAACGCTCAAGGATCTAGAAAGACAAAAGATTGCAGGAACCATTTGATCAACAGCAAATCTGGTCGAATAAAAGTGGATGCTGAAAGCGCTACGAACAGCATCCGTCGAAATTTTCGCCCATGGGGAAAAACTCCGTTACCCAAAGGCAAAAGGCCCGAGTAAACCAAGCAGCCACGAAACGAAAAAAACATCGCAGGCGAAAAGCACCCACAGAAACCACAAAGACAGGAAGCAGACAACATCGTACCAGAGGCCCCTTTGGAGCCTTGGACTCAGACTCAGTCTGCTAACCACCCTGGCGACTCAAAATTCGGCTCCTTACACTCGGAGGCAGCAGGGACAGTGATGAAATGCTTGTAAACAAATGCCTCAGTCTCTTCAACAAACTCGGCGATGTTAAACAGTCAGCTTGCCTTGAACAGCCGTCCATAATCGCACTCAGACAACTAGCACAGACAAGATGTCTCTGACGTGGAGATCGCGATAGACGGTTACTCTATTTTTAAACAAATGCGTCTCTTCAACAAACTCGGCGATGTTAAACAGTCAGCTTGCCTTGAACAGCCGTCCATAATCGCACTCAGACAACTAGCAAGCACAAGATGTCTCTGACGTGGAGATCGCGATAGACGGTTACTCTATTTTTCGGGCTGACTCACAACGAGGGAGAGCTGGTGGGGTTGCTGTGTACTTACATGCGGCCCTGCCAATCCCGATTGCCCTCTCTGACACCACCCCTGCACACTTTTGCGATGCACTGTGGGTCCAAATCCCGCTGCGCGGGTCCAATTCTCTCCTTCCCGGCGCAGTCTACCGTAGCCCTTCGAGTCCCCCTGAAGATGACCAATTCCTCATACAAACCTTTGAGCGACTTTCCTCCAACTACCACTTCACTCATCTCCTGCTGGTAGGTGACTTCAACGCCCCAAAGGCCTCCTGGATTGAGCTCCAGCGCGTCGAATCAGGCGGACGTTTTTCAGCGACGCTTTTTGAAGTCGTTCAACAGAGCGCATGGACCCAACATGTCGTTGCACCCACCAGATACCGAGCAGGCCAACTACCATCCCTCCTGGATTTGATCATCACCAACGAAAGACAATTCGTTGATCAGGTAACGATTAACGAACGCTCCACTGGGACATAGCGACCACTGCGCGTTGACCTTTGATTTCATCTGCTATTGGACCGAAAATCCCAAACATCAAACGTGGTTTCGAGACTTCTGCCGCGCAGACTTCTCAGGAATGCGCATCCTCCTTGAACAAGTCACACTGGGACCAGCTCCGGTGGAAGAACTATATGGCACCATTGTCAAGAAAGTACACGAGGCTGGCGCGACGTTCGTCTCAAAAAAGCGGAACGCACTCGGATGAACCGCTGGGTGCCAAAAAGGATTCGGCGTGGACTACAGGGGATACAGAAGATGAGCTGGCATTTCGTAAAATGCGGAACCGCTGTAAATCAGAAATCCGCCAATGGAACATACGAAAACAAGCCACCATTCTGGACCTCGCTCGAAAAAACAAAAAACGTACTGTTCAAGCACATGAGACGTCGCCGCAGAAACAAGCCATCCGCGTTCTCCTTGGGGGACAGAAACGGAGAACCGACAAGTGACACAAAAGTGATATCTGAGGTTTACAGAAAACGCTAAGCGTGTCTTTACTCAGCTCCAGTTTCTTCGTCACATCCACACTCGTCAAGGCTGAACTACGAGCAGCCTCTAACCGACTTGGTCTTCACGGTGGAGGACATTCGTTAACTCTTGCACAGGATCAACCAATTCTGCGCGTTGGGGCCCGACGAGTTCCATCCAAGTATCCTAAAGGAAACGTCCTCTATACTGGCAATCCTTTTACACACCGTGTTTCACCAGTCGCTTGACGAAGGCAGCCTTCCATTTGCTTGCAAGGAAGCGATCGTTACGCCAATCTACAGAACTGGCGACTGACTGTTGCCTGGCAGCCACAGGCCTATCAACCGCACTCGCGTCCCGTGCAGAGTGATGGAACGCATTCTGAAGCGAGCTATCCTAGATCACCTCACTTCCAGCAATCTGATATCTCCAGCTCAACACGGATTTCTTCCAAACCGCTCCTGCGTGACAAACATGCTCGTGTTTATGGACAGCTTAACCCAAGCCAGAGACGAAGGACTCATATCGGGTGCCATATTTTTCGACTTCTCAAAGGCATTTGATAGGGTCCCACACGTCCCGCTGCTCCACAAACTCGAGTCTCACGGGTTTCAAGGAAAAATCCTTCGCTAGATCAAGGTGTTCCTATCGGACAGATCATTCCGAGTGAGAATAGGCTCGACCTACTCCTCTCCAGCGCCGTTCTCCATTGGAGTTCCTCAAGGCTCCGTCTTGGGACCACTCCTGTTTCCGATCTACGTCAACGACCTCCCAGACGTTCTTGCGAGTCCATGTCTACTTTTTGCGGACGGCTTGAAATCCTGGAGTTCCAATGTCTATGCCCTCCAAATGGATGTAGACGCTGCCAAGCAGTGGTCGTTGGACTGCCACCTTCCTCTGAATGATGAAAAGTGCGTCCATATGTCGTTTGGATAGGATTCCGCCAATACCTTTATTATGCATTGTGAAAAGGGACCAGAAAACATCATGAGGATAGATGCCAAAAAGGATTTGGGCGTCTGGGTCTCCTCAAACTTGTCCTTCTCACTGCACCATGAGAAATCGGCCCAAATGGCATTCGCCATTTTACGGATGATCCGACGTACCTTCTCCCGTATCACTCGCATGGACTTCCAAATACTCTATGGGGCCTACGTCAGACCGCTCGTGGAGTACGCCAACCAAGTTGTCTACTCAGGACGCACGAAAGACGTCACCCTCACCGAGCGTGTCCAGCGGGCCGCTACGAGAATGGTTGCCGGCCTCAAATCCGTGGACTCCGGAACGCGTCTCGCGATGATTGATCTATTTCCCCTGGAGTGCCGTCGCCTCCGACGGGACCTAATTCTTATTTATGCCCTGTTTGAACAGAGCTTGGCAAACAGGTTTTTCACCGTCGACCCAGCGAAAACACGGCGGGGACATAGTAAGAAATTTTCAAGCTCAGAGCACACACATCCATCAGACAAATTTTTTCTCATTTCGGGTAGTAGCTGCGTGGAATGACCTTCCTCCAACGGTTGTACACGCTCCCTCTCGAACCCAATTTACAGCATTATTAGACATTTATTTATGCGAATCTTCGCGCTGGCAAGCATACTGCCCCGCGCTGAGAACATAAAGAGCAGTGCTGCACCCTTTTTTCACTTGTGGCTTTCAGGTGAACGGCAGCCACTGACCGACAAGAACAGAACCGACCCGGACAACTTGGGCAAAAGCCTCGATCCTGTGTATCCATCTGTGAGTCCGTGAATTCACCCATTTGGCCTTGAGGTCATCCGGCCCTTTGTATCAGACTTTGCATATGTGACTGAAGCGCGATCACGCGAATTGCGGCGTCATCCCCATTCTGATTGGTTGATACCTAGATGGCGGGAACATTCAAAAGTGGAAACATGACGGATTTGCGGTTTATGATTGACCCTCTCAATCGAAGCAAAGAATTATGATGTGGTTGTGTCTTCAAAAAATTTGCATCTTTAACAGGTTTATAATTATAGTTAGTTTTAGATAGCCTGGTTTTAAAGAGTGTAATCCTATATTTTGTTCCTGAAGTAAACTATATCTTCAAAAGAAGATGATACTTGGGAGTACTGGCGGTAACAAAAAGTAATTAGTCAGAACAGCCCAGAATCAGCAGCTGACGCTGGTGTATTGGCTGTTTGCAATCAGCATGGTTCACATATTATGAAACAGTTATTCGTTTGAATTAAAGGAATAGCCTACGTGTAATAGTATATTTTCCTCTCAATGAATCAATTGAAGGCCATGCATTCTTGGAATTGTGTTCGGTAGCTAAGGCACCCGATATATTCATTGACTGCTCTAGGTGCAAGACCCGGTGTTTTCATGGACAGCCCTAACTTTGGTTTATAATGAATGAACTATCGGTGTGTCCTTCGGAGCCAACAGATCAACGATAGAGTCTGTGGTTAGGCCAGAGTTTCAGCTCTGAGTACCACTCATCTGAGTACACAGAATAATATAAACAGCTGTTGACGTATTTAGTGAGCAATGAACGCTAAGCTTGGAATACCACTATTGCCATAACCTTCTGATGCGACTTTCGACGACACATATCAGATATACCTAAAGCAACAGCAACTTATGTCACAACTGTAGTTTTTGAACCCTGAAACTCAGTTGTGGCTGGAAATCACTCGTTCCGTTTTCGTTGGCGACTCTACATACTATGTACTATGTCTACATACTATGTAACAACAGACGGTGCGCCCCTGCCATAGGATCTTTGGATTGAATAATATTTGTTGATTGCGCAACTAGTAACACCATTACGTGAAACACCCATGAAGCGCAATACGTGTTTCAGGCACAGTTAGGCTGCCGGGCTATTGTACACAATGTTAGACACATGCTGTGAGAGGCGACCCTATATTGTCCTAGAAGGTTTCGGGACCACTCTGACGCTATAGACGAAACCGGAAAATTACGCCTCCCTTTTCTCACCTACGCAAGTTGGTCTTCAACTCAAGGCCTGGATACCTTGGTTGCCGTGACGCTTGCGTTGTCGGGAAATATGAAACCAGGTTTAGGAAAACATAGTTTTATTATGACTGATTGCCAGCAAATAAAAGAACCATTAAAAATGTGTTCCACAGTTGTGCCTGGAGAGTAAATGTGAAAAGAATTGGTGCAAGGCAATGGAACGGAAACGGACAGAGGAGGAGATGGGTTTTACGGCAGAAAAACCCACCCACTCCCCACACCTGCGTGTGGTAGCTTTGGAGAAGCTAGGTTGAAGCTGCCTGAACTGCATCACCATACTTTGCAAGCAAACCACGCAGACGGACGGAAGCAAGAGAGAACATTCATCACATTTCATCACAAACAGACACAGCCATGAGTCCAAATGGGCACACCGGATCTCGGATACCCTGCTGATCACATACAGGATAGTCCAAGCGGCGCACCTTATCGCGCAGGACCCGCACGCCATCACCGGTCTAGTCTATTCAATGGTTCATCCGGACACAGTCTCGGATTTCCATGGGTGACTTAAAATATCGAAACAATCCAAACACAACACGCTCCTGCTGAGCATTCACACGTCGGTTCGCAGCATATACTTGGCAATCGGACGTACGCAGGTTACACGAGTGTTCCATATATAAAAACTAATTATTACAAGGTGACTGTCTCGGTAAACGACACGCATGAACGATCGGGAGTCAAATCAGCATACCTAAATATAAGTTATTTGCATGATTGTGCGCAAAAATATCAACTTTCCGACGACCCTTTTATTCAGCATTCCAGTGAGGAAGCATTTCACCGAAATTCTGTTCGTTCGAGGATACATCCTGTGAACCTACATAACATTCTACCACATTTAATCATCCCACTTGGCCGTACCGTCGTTGCAACTGTGGTGGCGGTGTCCTGCACGTCGTGGGCACCCGAACAGCAAGAGGGGCAAGCGAGGATTGACCATTTGTAGCTCAACACCAGTTTATATACCAACCTGACTTTGGCCTTCATACACCACTTGCCCGGTCCAGACCGCAAGTCGCCGGCTCTGGACTGTCACACGTGGGAGCCTGTTTGCTCCCTTGCTTTGCAATTTTGTAGTCCAAGCGAACCGTTTGTTTTGAACGCATATCTACTGTCGGGGTTTGTATAAATAGTGAATTTCTCATACCCTAAATATACGCGTCACTCGAAGACAACGTTCCACCGTTACAGTACTCGACATCTTACGTCGTCTTGTTCGAAGTAAAGATGTCAACTTTTGTAACGATTGTGAGGGAAACCGGATCCATGGACACGGAGACGATTGGAGCTGCGGAGGAAACAATTGCAATGCAGTTTACTTCGCGCCCTGGTTCTTGTAAGTCACTTTGTGCTTCTAGTCGTAAAAGTACTGTAGCTATGAAAGCTTTAAGGATTGCTCAGCTCCAGGAGTATCGGGTTATGCGGCAGGTCGAGCTCCAGCGGGCTCTTTTAGAGGCACATAGCATAACTAAGTTGGCTAAAATTGAGCTAGAGGCCGAAGAGGACTCACAAGATGAAGTCTGGGAACCAGTAGCCTCAAATAAACAATTAGCGGGGTACGTGAAACAACGTCAGACAGATGAAAGACCACTAAGATACGCTGATGAAATCAGAGGGCCAAAACCAGCCATCTCCGTCACTCCAGCATCAGCCGCTATGGACCTACAAAAGGTGGAACTATCATACTTTGATGGTAATCCGTGTCATTACTGGAGGTTCGCCCGCCAATTTGAGTTATATATTGAGAGCAAGGTGCAGGACGCCGGTCAGAGGCTACCTTATCTGATCCACAACTGTCAAGGCGACGCGAAGGTGGCCAATGAAGAATGTGTGATGCTTCCGCCGGAAGTAGCATACTCCAGGGCACGGGAGATTCTACGCAATCTCTTTGGCCAGCCTCATTTTATCGCTCGCTGTCTACTAGAAAGCCTGTTTCGTTTTGCACGACAGACCACTGGAGCAGCCAATTCTTTGTCGGACTTGTATATAAAAATGCGCAGTTGGAAATCGCGCTGACGCAAATGTGGTACGTCTCGGACTTGCGCTCACTATCGGTTGTAGAGAGAGTTGTGCGTTCTCTTCCCTCGCCATTGCAGCACAAATGGGCTGGGGTGGCAGATAAGATATCCGTGAGTGGCCAGGTCCCAACGTTCACAGACTTGACGGAGTTTGTGAACACGCGCTCCCGTGTTGCAAGGAGTCGGTTCGGGCAACTGGCTAGAGAGGGATACGTAAGACGCCCCCTGTAACGCCGACTTCTACCAACCAAACCTCTAGACGGGATGGTTATACCAGTTTCCCAGCCAACATCAGACCAGAAGCAGACGGTCGTCCAAGTGCGTGCGCATTATGCTTGCAGCCCCGCCCAATTTCCAGTTGCCTGCGCTTTTTGTCTATGAAAGTCTATGAAAGTTCCTGACAGATGGAAATGCATACGGGAGCATAATGCATTCTTTGCCTGTTTAGGAGACTCCCACGCCCTCAGAGACTGTATTCCAGTGGTTCGATGCGCCAAGCCGGGATGTAAGGGACGACATCATAGTTTGTTACACATATCACAACCCGGAAACAAAGTTTCGACGCCCTCAGAGGCGGTGGTATTGTGTGCCTTAACTCTCAGGCACGCCTGAGAGTCATTCCTGTCAAGCTTGACAGTCCTGCAGGGAAGGTTACAACGTATGCATTTTTAGATGCTGGGTCCGACATAACGATAGTAAAGCGGGACCTTTTGGTGAAAAATGGGGTCAGGCTGCTACCCACGTCTATGACCATTGATACACTTGGTAGTTCAATGGGATGCACATCTGAAGCTAATGACATCAGGCTTTTATCAATGGATGAAAGCCAGTCGATAGGTATTGACAAGGCATTCGTCATTGACAGCTTACCTATGCAAGCTGTCCCATCTATCAAAGAAGCGGCTCGCAAGTGGCCTCACCTCAAGGAAGCTGCCTTCGACGAACTGACTGAAAACGATGTAGGAATCCTTATTGGTTGTGACGTATCTGAAGCGCACTGGGTCTTTGCCGAGCGCCTGGGGTGTAGAAAACAGCCGTTTGCTGTAAAACCTTACTCGGTTGGATACTTCTTGGTCAGATGAAAAACGGGACGAAGCAGAAGGTCGTCAGTCCTTGTATAACCGGGTGCAATCAGGGCATCCAGGAGCATTTGCCGCGAGTGAACAACTCGGAATTCGCAGACACTTCAGCATCGAACACTAGTCTCTCTTTAGAGGATCAAAGAGCACTGTTGATAGCAGAGACTTGTGCGGTGCGAGTAAGTGGGCATTATCAGCTTCCGCTTTCATGGAAGGATAACGCACTCACCCTACCCGATAACTTCCAGGCAGCTGGGAAACTTCTAGATAATCTGAAGACTAAACTGTGCAAGGATCGTGTTTTACACGGAAAGTACGATAAGGTGCTTCGCGCATACATGGAGAAAGGATACATTGAACGGGTGGCAGATGCTCCTACTTTGTCATTGAATTCAAAGCAGTGGTATCTCCCACACCATCTGCTTATTAGCCCAAAAATGCCAGAAAAGATTCGGGTTGCATTTGACTGCGCTGCCAAATGTCATGGTGTGTCCCTCTGGTGCCCCCCGAGTGCGTGGTAGTGGACTACTTCGGACCTTCTAAGACCAAACGCGGCCGTTCGCAAGAAAAACGCTATGGCTCTATCTTTAGTTGTCCGAAGACTAGAGCAGTCCATTTGGAAATGGTAGGCAACCTGTCAGCAGATTCATTCCTACAATGTTTGATGCGCTTCGCTGGTGGACATGGCAAGCCCACCGATATCTACAGTGATAATGGTAGGAAATTCGTTGGTGCGCTAACGGAATTTCGGGATGATATAAAGCGGCGGAGTTCCAGCAAATTATCAGAACGGTTTTTGACTATGAATATACAGGGCACTTTATTCCACCAGTGGCTAGCCACCGTGGTGTTGTGTTGGAGCGCATAATCAGGTCAATACGACGTATCCTTTTATGTCTATGCAGGGGACAGTGTGTGACCGATGAACAACTGAACACGCTCCTTATACAAGCAGAACGGATTCTAAATAAACGGCATATAGTCCCGCTATCATCAGACAGCAACGATTTGGAGCCGCTTACTCCAAACAGTTTGTGGCTGATGCAGTGCTATCCTGCGGTACCCAGTCGCGACGGTTTGGCCTCGCGATATCATGCCGGTTGGGAACAGGTCAATTATCTCGCGGGCGTATTCTGGCATCGTTGGGTAAGGGAATATCTGCCAACGTTGCAGATGCGTACCAAGTGGCTCAGAGCAACCCAAGAATTGAAACGAGGGGACTTGGTTCTGGTTTCCGGTGAGGACCTGCCGCGTGAGAAATGGACTCTAGTGGTAGTAGATAGTTTTGAGGCGAGCCCAGATGGATTAGTAAGAACCCTACGTGTTAGAACGGCGTGGGGCGTTCTTAAGAGAGATATTAGAAAGGTGTTTACTGGAGGGACGAGAATAGGCTTGTTCTCCATGGAATTCGGCACTTGTGGCAGGAGTAGACTCGGGCTATTCGTGTCGGTGGCTGACGGGGTACAATAGAATGGAGCTGAGCGTAGGTAGAAGGTAAGAACCGGGGCGCCCGCTGAATCAACGTAGAGAATTTGGCGGACGGTGTATCATCCATTATGTTGACAATGAAATTTCCCACGCTTATTCTGTCCCCAATGGTAAACCCCGCCCCACTTTTGTGTTTAGTGTGTATATATGAACTGAAATATGTTTGTCCTTACCACTTCACACATTTGGCCTTGAGGTCATCCGGCGATTTGTATCTGATTTTGCACGTGTGACTGTGGCACGTTGGAGCCTGTTTGCTCCCTTGCTTTGCACATTTGAAGTCCAAGCGGACTGTCTGTTTTGGACGCGTATCTACTTTCGAGGATTGTACAAATTGTGAGTCATTCTTACACTAAAAGTATCGTATAGAAAACCAGCTCCGATATTGTTTTGACTACCAGGAGGTTCTGGTATTACGCGTCCATCAAAGATAACGTTCGACCGTTACAGACAGCAAAATCCAAGCCGAGGACAAAGGACTCATTTCGTATGCCATATTTTTCGACTTCTCAAAGGCATTTGATAGGGTCCCACACGTCCCGCTGCTCCACAAACTCGAGTCTCACGGGATTCAAGGAGAAATCCTTCGCTAGATCAAGGTGTTCCTATCGGACAGATCATTCCGAGTGAGAATAGGCTCGACCTACTCCTCTCCAGCGCCGTTCTCCATTGGAGTTCCTCAAGGCTCCGTCTTGGGACCACTCCTGTTTCCGATCTACGTCAACGACCTCCCAGACGTTCTTGCGAGTCCATGTCTACTTTTTGCGGACGGCTTGAAATCCTGGAGTTCCAATGTCTATGCCCTCCAAATGGATGTAGACGCTGCCAAGCAGTGGTCGTTGGACTGCCACCTTCCTCTGAATGATGAAAAGTGCGTCCATATGTCGTTTGGATAGGATTCCGCCAATACCTTTATTATGCATTGTGAAAAGGGACCAGAAAACATCATGAGGATAGATGCCAAAAAGGATTTGGGCGTCTGGGTCTCCTCAAACTTGTCCTTCTCACTGCACCATGAGAAATCGGCCCAAATGGCATTCGCCATTTTACGGATGATCCGACGTACCTTCTCCCGTATCACTCGCATGGACTTCCAAATACTCTATGGGGCCTACGTCAGACCGCTCGTGGAGTACGCCAACCAAGTTGTCTACTCAGGACGCACGAAAGACGTCACCCTCACCGAGCGTGTCCAGCGGGCCGCTACGAGAATGGTTGCCGGCCTCAAATCCGTGGACTCCGGAACGCGTCTCGCGATGATTGATCTATTTCCCCTGGAGTGCCGTCGCCTCCGACGGGACCTAATTCTTATTTATGCCCTGTTTGAACAGAGCTTGGCAAACAGGTTTTTCACCGTCGACCCAGCGAAAACACGGCGGGGACATAGTAAGAAATTTTCAAGCTCAGAGCACACACATCCATCAGACAAATTTTTTCTCATTTCGGGTAGTAGCTGCGTGGAATGACCTTCCTCCAACGGTTGTACACGCTCCCTCTCGAACCCAATTTACAGCATTATTAGACATTTATTTATGCGAATCTTCGCGCTGGCAAGCATACTGCCCCGCGCTGAGAACATAAAGAGCAGTGCTGCACCCTTTTTTCACTTGTGGCTTTCAGGTGAACGGCAGCCACTGACCGACAAGAACAGAACCGACCCGGACAACTTGGGCAAAAGCCTCGAACTTGTGTATCAATGCGTGAATCCGTGAATCCGTGATTCATTGTACAGAGCTTGACATCACTCTACACGTACTTGGATTTTGCTTACCGGTAGCACTTTTCTATTGCAGATGGTGGAACATAATAAGCATTATATAACTGGCCCCGGAAAGTTTTCGGATGCCTGGCTGCTATGGATGGGTATAATGAGCTAAGCACCACGACACCAAGCATTGCGCCCTAACGCAAGTGAAGAACACTGCCATTGCTTGCACAGCATAACAATGACAACTTAGCTGACGCGTATGACTAACGGGTGACTAGGGATGCGCGATGTCCGATCACCTGGCTCAACAATGGGCACCCAAACAAAACTACATAGCTCACACGACGAAAGCGCACTGTTCATGTCGACTTCGAAAACACAATGGTCCAAATTGGACAAGGTTAAACGTTCAATTTCATTCAATCTATTATTACACATCTGCTGGTTGGTGCGGAAGTGTGAAGTTTGCTCTGTGAAGTGACGTCCTGAAATGGGGAAAAGGTTTAAATCGGTTTACCAAGATGTCACTATGGCGCAGGCGGTCAGTAAACTGGGAGCAACACTTATTCTACAAAGTGAACATTTTAGGAGGCGACAGTCTCCTAGAACCGTCCTTACATGAAGCTATCTGCAATGACTAATTAGCGTTACGTTATTTCGTGTGGGTGGTGTCTAATAAATATTGGTCCTCAAGAAATGCAATACCTGCCTAAAATGCACGATGCCCAAATAACGCCCGAACAAATTGAAGCCGATTGCCCTTACATGCATAACGGGAAATCATCATAATCCTTATCTCTCCGATTGGCGCACTTCTGCAGTGACAAACTTTGTATTAGCTGGAAAATGAACCTACTATTATAACATCATAGCATGCCTTCTCTGTAGACTATTTGGCAAGCACACTTTTGCGCTTTCTGGACGGAGCGCTGGCAAGACAGTAAATTAACCGTGGGCACACTCATCTTAGGGACAAGCTCGAGGGTCGTCACCGCTCAGCGGACAGGCATAACAATATTCGATATAATATGATTAGTGATTCTTTGCACACCAGTGGTCACTACGACTAGTCGCCATATCAAAGATCTCACATACACCAAATTATGTCCCCAGACTACCATCCTCGACCGTCAACGGCAAGTCGTCTGTCATGAACATTGAACCTCGGTGTATCAGGAGTTGCCTCTGTGAAATCCATTATCTGATGAGGTCTGTAGACTCCTTGGGTTCCAGCTCTTGAATTTAACCCAATAAGTGATCAATATTCCACGCGAGCCATCGAAAGGCAGCCATTGCCCCACCAAAGTGGTACGACATACGCATCTCATATTCCCGTATGAGCCATACATCGTCCCAAAGCACCTCATTATGGTACGCTTGAGTGGGGTTTGAGTGGTACATAGCCAGCAGCCCGCTACCCATGTCACCCGTGATAAAAAGTGTACAACTTTCATCAACAAGCTACACATGAATTGCTATGAAAAGACCCACCCGAATAGGTTAGTAGCGTCTGGACAACGTCAAGACGGCGCTGTCTGCTGCCAGTTGGCGAAACACATGTGGCTTTATTGACCGCGCATTGAATGCAACAAAAGAACACATCCGGAGAGGCTAAGCTTAGCCAGGATTGAAGACAGACATATCGTCCGTTACAATAAAACCCAATCATCCGCCAATTACCGAGGAGAGCTTATCGGCACTGCCGTTGTTGGCCTGGGTCGGCGAATAAACAATCTTTCAATCACGATTGTGCGAGGGTCTTCTGAACAGTTTGTAGTGTGTGCAATTGTACAAGTGTAATTTGCAGTTTTTCGTTTTCAAACGTGGAATAACATTAGTCCGACGGTCGTCCACGCTTCACCGCACTCACAGAGACCTGGATCACACCAGATGTCTCTGACGCGATAGACGGTTACTCTATTTTTCGGGCTGACTCACAACGAGGGAGAGCTGGTGGGGTTGCTGTGTACTTACATGCGGCCCTGCCAATCCCGATTGCCCTCTCTGACACCACCCCTGCACACTTTTGCGATGCACTGTGGGTCCAAATCCCG